AGCCGGCGCCGCAGACCTATCAGCTCGACTTCTTGAGCAAAATTCTGCCTAATTATCAACGCATCGAAAAACCAAACTTTAAGCCAAACAGTCCGACCACTGCCAGCGCTTCGTCGCCCGGAGTCTCGCCAACTCTTTTACCCAATCAATGATTTTTTTTATTTTTATTTAATTTTTAATTATTTAATATTAGATTTCAACATTTATTTCAAACTTTTTACGTTAGGAACGGATACTCTGTATAAGAATACTGTCATTAAAAATGAAAATTTCATCAAATTCTACTTTTTTGTACACCGATTGTAACAAAACTGAATATTAAAATTATTTGATGTAAACTTTGTATAGGAATTGTTTAAATAAACCAATTGTTTGAAAAACAGAGATATTAACCAGAAATCACTCAAATTTACTAAAACTTTATTTATTAATAAAATCTCTTTTATCGTTGAATTTGACTAAACATTATGTGTTAAATAACACCAAAATTGAGATCTATTTCATTGCAAAAAAGATTTTTCAGTGCTTCTCAATGAGAACTGTCTTCGACTAAACTACCACTTGACTGATCCACTGGTGTTGTAAGACTTGGTCCATCTTAAGCCTGTCACTGACCGTCGGTTCCAATAACTTTTTGATGATGTCTTTGCAGTCGTTGTGTAGTCTTTCCGGCAGTTTATACCTTTTGGTCAGTTGTTTGCGGCGTTGGTGATGTTGGCTGAACGGCAATTTCGTGGTTGACATCACATACAGAACGACGCCGAGACTCCAGCAGTCACTGGCCATAGAGTCGAAGGGAAGACCGCTGAGCAGTTCGGGTGAGACGTAACCAACTGTTCCGCACGCCGTTAATGTCAATAGTCGGCGACCCGTTGAGTGCAGATATGCAGTGCGAGCGAATCCAAAGTCTGTAATTTTGGCCACTTTTTTGTTGCTAAACATTAGAATGTTTTGACACTTTAGGTCTCGATGAACAATGCCTTCTGAGTGCATGTATTTCAACGCCTCTGCAATTTGTCTGAATATAATCTGGGATTTGGAGTTCTCGAGCGGTCCCTCATTCTCTTTAAGGATGTCCAAGAGGTCGCCGCCAGTGGCCAACTCCATGACCATAAACATACGGTTCGACACCAGAAACGTCTCAAACACTTTAGTGATGAATCTGTGATTCAGTTTCTTCAGGGCGTAGAGCTCTCGAGGAAGGAATCTCTCCCTATAATCAGTGGACACTTTCGTGCAATCGATGATTTTGACGGCTCTGTCCGCGCCGTTCGCTGTCTTTGCTTTATAGACATTGGCGTAAGAGCCGGAACCGATACTTCTCGTCTCCAAAGAATACCCCCTTGTGGTCAACGACTGCTTCTCCTGGGCGCTCAGCTTCAAAGCTGCCATATCTGTCTCTAGTCTTCAGTTAATTGGATTCAATTCCAGAGAAATGTGATTCAAATTATTGACTGCTATTTATTTGAAATTCTAACTGAAATTTTTAAATTCAGTTTAAAATTAATTTATTGTTTAAAACGCGCTATTATTTTGTTAGTAAATATACAGTTTAACATAGCGTTCATTTCACAATGAAGCGATGGATTCACTAATAGTTGTGTTTCTTTTATAAATAAAGTTTTCAGTTTAAGATGTCATTTGTCTGTACATGTAATTACTCTACTTTTTAATATCACAATTATATTCATGCAATTTATTGCTACTGTATATTTTAAAAATTATCAATTATCATTAATATTTGTATTTATAAAACAATTTACAAAACTTTCAATTTGTTTGTTATAAAAATGACATTTTAATTGTTTAGTTATCTTTAGATTTTAATATAATTTGATTGGAACTAATATTTGTAGATATTATAAGTAAATAAAACAATATTATGAGTTAATAGAGGTTATCTATTTATTTGTTTTAATAAATCATTATTTAATTGGGGAGAGAGAGAGAATTATTTGAAAATGTATCTATTCTTTACTCATTATCATAATGAGATAATTATATTGCAATAACCAAAAAGTGTACAAATTTGATAAATTATTAAAATCAATAAAAATATTAATTCCAAAATATAGTCGTTTATATATTAAACAATTGTTGTGCAATTGACTCAAATTTGCAACAATTGTTATTATTTTGGGCCATAAGTTAATAATACAACTTATAATGTATTGTGATTATTCTACAAAACGTCTTTATGAATTTAAGATAATTTCATGAAAGTGAAGTTTAAGTGTAAAATAGGGGGACAATGTATTGTAACAAGGTAATTGAAGGGTTGTTTAAATACATACACAACTACCAAATAAAAGGCTTGAAAGGGGCTAAACAGTAGCCTCTCGAAGGTTATACCCATAGATATCCAATAAACGAATCGTAAAACAATTAGATTTGTAAACTTTTTTTGATTACTTTTTATTATTTTCACATAAATATTATCACTTATTATGTGACGAAATCAATACATTTGTACTGATTATATGAGAATTAATTTATTGAAAGACAACAAATCATTTTCAATTCAATTATCAATTATTAGCAGCTTTTGTGCAGTTTTTGGAGTTATAGTTCAGTGAAATAAATTACAGTGAATTTTAACAATTTGTTTATGGCTTTAAAGTGAATGAAAAGCAAAATTACTAAATATAATAGTGTTTAAAAATGCCATTTGAATCCAATTCCGATCATTATGAAAGTCAGACAACAGGTAATAATTGTTTCAATACTTTAATTTCTATGTTTGCCAAACGATTCTTAGAAATATTACCGTTTAAATGATTACTTAATACTTTTGTTTAATCAGTTTCTTGAGAAACTATAGATTATTAGAGCTATGATGTGATTATTGCCATTTCACAAAGTTGCTTCATTTATAAAAACAACAGTTACTTCGTATAACTATTTTCAAAAGCTTTCATTGATTGCTTATTTTCAAAGTTACTTCATATGATACTAACATAATATGTATATTATATACTCTGATGGTCTGTTGCTGTCCATCACTTGAGAGTTGTAAGCATTGCATGACTGCCACAAACATCTAATTCAGTCATAAGTATTAGATTTCAAGCTTTCATTCAAACAATATATGCTTTAGCTTTCATACAATTCTCAGATTAGATAGCGTTTGACTTTTTTCAGTTAAAACATTGAAGCGTTTGTCTCTATTATAATACTTTATATACATTATTATTAAATAAAGAATTCATTGTTTTGATTAAAATATCAAACTTTGATTGCGTTTTGAATTTGCAAACTATTATTTTTATTTTCATTCAAAATATTGAAAAAGTTTTAATTTAAAAATTGTATAAAATATTCTTAACACAAATTATATTACTATATATAATAAGATTTTGTTTGTAAACAGGGTGCATAACAATTAAAACTATCTCGAGACCATTGTTGGGAATTTAATTTAATTTATTTTTTGACGGGAAATCCCGAACGCGCAGAGATTTTCATTGTTAAAAAACTGTTTATTGCAAGCACGCGGGTTAATGTATTATTGATTTGGTTTAGGTTAGGTTAAGTTGGTTTTGGGTTGGGTATGCAGGTAGAGGACGAATAGTATTAGATTTCAAGCTTTCATTCAAACAATATATGCTTTAGCTTTCATACAATTCTCAGATTAGATAGCGTTTGACTTTTTTCAGTTAAAACATTGAAGCGTTTGTCTCTATTATAATACTTTATACACATTATTATTAAATAAAGAATTCATTGTTTTGATTAAAATATCAAACTTTGATTGCGTTTTGAATTCGCAAACTATTATTTTTATTTTCGTTCAAAATATTGAAAAAGTTTAAATTTAAAAATTGTATAAAATATTCTTAACACAAATTATACATTGTATTTATTGCTATAATATTTAACAAAATTATAAGAATGACCACAAAATATTACAAACCTTTTAATATTATAATCATATCTATTACTGTTATGTATATCTTATCCTATTATTAGTCACGAGAAAAGACCTTTCAGTGCATGTGTTGTGAATCTCATAGGAATAATACATACTTTTTACAAATGAAATAAATTAAATTAGGTTAAGTTGGTTTTGGGTTGGGTATGCAGGTAGAGGACGAATAATACAGAATAGGTGTAAAGGTACAAGGAAATGTGATTACATAACAAAGTAGTAAGAATTGACGGGTGGCGTAAACTAGTTTATTGCTATAATATTTAACAAAACTTTAAAAATGACCACAAAATATTACAAACCTTTTAATGTTATAATCATATCTATTACTGTTATGTATATCTTATCCTATTATTAGTCACGAGAAAAGACCTTTCAGTGCATGTGTTGTGAATCTCATAGGAATAATACATACTTTTTACAAATGAAATAAATTAATATAAAACACTTGATTTGGTCATGAAATACCATATTCTTATGATTACAACCATTGAATTAGAGAAACCAAATCTATACTCAAACATATCGTTTTGTTAATACAAATGTCAAGTCTTTTAATTTTCAAAAAACAGCTGCAGTTCTCACTTGAGATGAAAGGGGGCTTTGAATGCAATTCAATACTAAAACATTTTTATCACTCCTTAAGAATCATTTCATCATTTGTTCTCTAAATGTTGTAAAGATTGTAATCTTTAAAATCGTTAAATCATTGATAAAAAAGTTTCGTTAAATTTTCTAACGCTTAATAATGAGTATTTTATTATTGGATTCAGAAACTAAACTCTGGACTCCAGACTCGAGACAAATTGCCAATAAATTGCTAATCAATTCGTATGAAAAGCAAAGATATAATATTAATAATGGCTATAAAGAAGAGATTTTGAACGGCTATAGCGATGAAGACAATGGATATTATAGAGACCATTGGCGCGGAGGCATCGAAGCCATTGATCTACTGACGAGTCCTAAGTATTATCCGGGAGTCCGAAGGGATGGCCAAACAGAGGGGCCTTTAGATCTGGAGTGTCTTTATTACGATCAGTTTGAGTGCAATTCATCCGCAGAACATAATTCACATAAAAGAGAAACTTTCAGTTCTTCGACCGCTTCTCAAAGATATCATTGCGAAAGTCAGTCAACATATTGTGGTCAACAAAGTGTGGCTCAAACGCAACCATTGGATCCAAACCTCGAGAGTGTGATCGACGACGCGATTTCGTTGGAGTCTTCGTTCAAGTCTTTGGATTCAAACAATTCCTCGCTTTCGGCACAATATATGCCAAACACTTGCGAATGGATTGACTGTTACTCTGTATTTAAAAGTCAAGAGGAATTAGTAAGTTATGGATTAGCCATCTATTTATATATCGTTGTATTAAATTACGTTTAAATGCAACTTAAAATATACTCATTTGCGTTGATTATTAGGTAAACCACATCGAAAAGTTTCACATCGATCAGAGGCGCAACAACGATGAGTTTACTTGCTTTTGGATGTCGTGTCCTCGAAATAAACGACCCTTTAATGCCAGATATAAATTATTAATACATATGAGAGTACATTCCGGCGAAAAGCCCAACAAATGCACAGTAAGTTTATGAATAACATTTTTAAAGCATTTAAATAAAGTAATTCTCATATTTTGACAATTAGTTTGAAGGCTGTGTTAAAGCATTTTCACGTTTGGAGAATCTAAAGATCCACACGAGATCTCATACCGGGGAACGACCCTATGTTTGCCAGTTTGACAATTGCAACAAAGCTTTCAGTAATTCATCCGATCGGGCAAAACATCAGAGAACACATATCGACACTGTATGTCATTTTCGTTATTCATTTATTCGTTTTTCTTATCAAAATATATTCCAATTTAACTCTTCAAACATTAAGTTTTAACTTTTTAATTTAATCGTAAGAATTTTTAGAGCAGTACTCATTAATCACATGCAGTTTTTACAAATTATAATGTAATAACTTATATATTATAGAAACCATACGGATGTCAAGTCCCTAATTGTGGTAAAAAATATACGGATCCGAGTTCTCTAAGAAAACACATGAAAAATCATTTACAGAAAACAGACAAAAGAAAAAAGGTTTGAATAATTTTTGTTGAAAATTTGTAAAAATGTAATGAATTATGTTTTGATAACACTATTAGACTTCGAGTACATCAACACTTTCATCGAGACCTGAAGACATCTCAACGCGTGATATGTATAGAAGTAATAGAAGTCTTAGCTCTTCGTTGAACTCGTCGTTTAACGGAAGCATTTCGAGCGCATTATCGCAGTCGTGGGGAGGCATGAGTTCGCCCCTCAGCTCGTCCTGTGTTTCCCGTAATTTCAATACAGAGACGCCTAAAATGATGAGACCTCTATCGATGGCCAGTTCATACAATGCCGGCCCTTCTGGCGGACAATTCTGGCAAAATGATCGACAAAATGGTCACAACATTCATAACACTTATGATCACACAAATAGTTTGGCCAACATATTGGCCAACACATCAATTCAGGGATTAACTAATCAACATATTTCTAAACTATTAGCTCCTATTCCTAACAGTCCCGACGCACAGGCCTTCACTCAAACCATTGATAGCACGTCCACTTATTATCAATAAATTATAAATAAGTTTTTTAAACACATACTATATTAGCAATAATTAGTATTTATTAAGGTATTACACGATAAGATACATAGATAAAGTTAATTAATTATGTTTATTATAGTAAACATATACTAATTCTTAAATATTATATATTTGTTTTACCATAAATCTAATTTTATCTATTATCTATTAGCAAAATTCAAAACATTTTTTTATTAAATTGATATTTGTATATTAAATTATAAATAATATGATTAAACTTGGTTTTAATGCAATATTATAAATGCACAGTTACTGTTGAGTATAATCTGAAATGATGGCTACAATTTTTAAATGTATATTAATATCGAAATTATTAATATATGAGAGAATAAATAATGTGGTTTGATGAACAATGTGAGTTAATCATAAACAGCGCCTATAATAATAGCCAAATTGAGTTGCGATGAATTGTTCAAAACGGGTGAATACGTTAAATTCCAGAGTCGGGCACTCAATACAACTGCCAATTCATATAATGAAATTAAAAATATTTTAATTAAAATGTTAACAACTAAATGATTAGATTATTTTACGCATTTCATTAGTGCCAAGAATATCATCGACTGATCCACAGCCACGAGAGGCACAAAATTCTTTTGATTCAATTTTAATCTTATTTTGACCACTGATTTGAATCATTAACAAAACTTGTGTTCCCGGCGACGGATCGATCTGTATTTCATTTACAATATTAATCAATTTTATAAAAAAATTATAAATAATATTAAACCAATTTAAATGTGTATCCATTATAATTATACGAAATAACAATCCAATTAGATTTTGTCATCTCCAGCATTGAAGGCAGTATTTCTGGTCTTATGTAATATCTCCTCATTTGCTTTTCTGTCTTTTGATCACAATTTTCCCTAAAATTGTCAAAATATTTGCGTTAATTGTTTGGCGGAACGGTATGTGCTTTCATATACCAACCAATGGGCATACCATCCCATTTGCAAATATCTATTTGATCTCAATTTCTTAAGTAAACTTAAGTGATCATTGGTTTTAATATTGGATCTAAAGAGACATACATTTTTCCAATCATTTTCGTCATATATCTAAATGTATATAAATATTATTATGATTATAATAATAGGCAACAAATCAAATAGATGCCTTTTCTATCTGCTGTAAACCAAACTGGTGTCCAGCGATCGGCCATTTGTCGATCTCACTTTCCATCTGATCTGAGCCAACAATGAGTGGAATTTCATTTCGTATGAAATTTTCACCAATTATTCCACTCTTAAGATCAGAATTTCTTTCAATTCTAGTGATGTCTTCACATAAATGGCAATCGCGTTCTCGTAAGCGCTTTGTCTCATAAAATGGATTATTTATAAGACATGAAGAATCGTACCATTTATTCCAATCCCAATGCGATTCAATCTTTTATATCATTGTATAATTTTAAATATAAATAATATCAAGCTACAGATAAATTGGTTACAAAATAAAAATTTACAAAATGTATTAATTTTATAATGCATATTTATGATAACTTTAATAAAACAATTACTCGATGTGTATGTCTTATCTCTAAAAATGTTTATAAAGTAAACAAGAATTGTTTGTTAGACTTATCGCAACAAAACATACCTTAAATAATAACAGTCTTCCATACATACACGTCAACCGATTCAATGGATCCACACTTTTTATGCCAAACAATATAACAAATATCAGTAAAGCTTTGATAAAAATTATAAAATATTTTTTAATTGTTGATTCATTTATAGCTGAGTTAAACACTCGAAGACCTATTGAAGCAATTTCTTCTTCCGAAACACCATTTGTAGAGAATTTTTCAAAAATTACATTAATTTTTGAATCAATTTCATTGAGATTCTCATCGTTTGCTTCATTACTTTTAGTTAAAAATTTCGCACAGCTTTTAATAAAGATTTTCATTTCATTTAATTTTATTTTTAGTTAAATAATTTTTAAAAAATTTTAGACAACTTTTGTAACAATTTCTAAAAATGTAGTGAAACTGATATAATGTGAAGCATTTGCGCGATTCTTAAAACTTTCTACACATGAGCTCTGAATATTGTCAATTAGCCTCACTGTCAAATACCTTTATAAATTAAACATTTTATAAAAGCTTTGAATTAATATTATGGTTAAATATATTTTAAAAAGTTAATAATCAATGATTATCTTATTTATTAAATAATAGATTTTACTGATAAGTCACACAAATATTTATTAATACTGTAAAATATAATTGTATTGTATAGAAAATTAAATGCAGTTAAATGAAGATTCTTGACTAAAAAGATTGATAATGTATGTCAGTAGCTGTGTTTTAAATTACATTTCCAACAATTACACTAACAATGTTTGAAACAATGTCTATATTTTTAATGAAAACTTTTTTAAAAATATTCAAAAATTACTGGGAATTAATTTTAAAACAAATAAGAAATGTCTGAATGGAAATGTTGTGCGAACTGCAGGTGTCGGTGCACTAACACCGATGTGTGTCCGGACACAGCCGCACATCTTATAGCTGCTGGCAATCAGAATATTTCTCATTCAACGCCACCGACGTCTCAGTTATGGCAGAATGAGAGTGAAGTGCAGACAAACCAATCGCCAACTCTTGAAGACCTGATCCAATTGGAGCGTAAGATTGACCAGAGAATCAAAAATATGCCCAATCTATCGATGTCTAACCAATCACTGCACGGCTCCAGCCATACGTCCGGCGCTGAGCGACACAACGTTTCAAACGAAACCATGAATTATGACCTCTATTTGAATGAAATACTAATTCTTCGGCAAAGACTACAAGAGGCGGAACTCAAGAGTGCCATCATTGAGGAGAAGGTGAGCCGATTGGAGATGACATACCAATCGGCAACCATTCAACACATTCAACAACTCAAACAACAAATCCTCAATTTTATTGATCAACAGTTTTCGCAATTCATACAGAATTATAATAAATGAATGCATTTATGAATCCATACATTGAAAATAACTATACAATTGTTGCCCAAAATCATAATTACTACTCACTGTGCCTTACATTTGGAAAAGCCTTTATAGTAGAATTCCAAAAATCACATACATCATTTTAGACATTGAGCAACTTGCGAACATTATTCTTATACCAATAATACTGTATACAGTGTATAATATGAGGGGTGAAAGGTCATTTGATGCAAAAATGATCTAGAAGCCACCAGTGAGGATCGAACTCACGACCCCTGGTTTACAAGACCAGTGCTCTATCCACTGAGCTATGGTGGCCAACATTCAATGCCTGGCATTAATATTCAATGCAAACATTACACCACTATTGCCGACACCAATTCATCCACAATAATAGGGCAGCATTTGTACGACACATGCGTTCGCTTTGTATCGCAAAAAGTGAACGAATGGCAAATAATTTGTAGAAACAAAACATTGCTTTCAACCCAAACGCCAAACGTTTTGTTTACAAAGTTTTATAACTAAAGAAATAATGAATTGAAATGCAATTCAGACAACAATTTAGTGAATGAATGAGTGATTGAATTGTGATATCGTGTGAAATGTCAGGCCGTGAATGGGGTTCGGGTGAAGAAGTGATGGCTTTGGGCACACCTTTCGAGCCGTTGGCCGACAACGAAGTGGTGGCCAAAAGGCCTGAATTGGATCTGACTGTGAGGGACAGCGAAGGCCGCCGAAGATTTCACGGGGCGTTCACCGGAGGCTTCAGTGCCGGACATTACATGACTGTCGGCTCCGAAGAGGGCTTCACTCCT